AAGACTGTACTTCATGAAGTTAATAAAATGTTTAATTTTGTTGTATCCCTTATTTTTATTTTTATTTTTGAGAGGGAGGGCCAGAATCTCAAGCAGGCCCCACACTCAGCGCGGAGCCCGCCCCAGGGCTCCATCTCATGACTGTGAGATCATGAACTGAGCAGAAATCAAAAGTCAGAAGCTTAACTGACTGAACCACCCAGGCACCCCTATATCTTTACTTTTAGGTTCACTTTTAAAGTGTTTTATGTAGCAGGGTGCCTGGGTGACTCAGTTAAGCATCCAACTTTGGCTCAGGTCACGATTTTGTGGTACTTGAATTCGATCCCTGGGTGGAGCGGCTCTGTGCTGTCAGCTCACAGCCTGGAGCGTCTTCGGATTTTGTGTCTCCCTCTCTTTCTGCCCCTCCCCTACTTGTGCTCACTCTCTCTTTCTCTCAAAAATAAATCATTAAAAATTTTTTTTAATATGAGATATTCACATAGCTGAAACTTACTGTTTTAAAGTTACAATTCAGTGGTTTTAAGATATTAAAAAGGTTGTGCAATGTCTGATGTCTAATTCCAGAACTTTTTCATTCCCCAGAAAGAAACTCCATACCCATTAGTAGTCACATCCCATTCCCCTCACCCCTTAGTGACGACTAATCACCTTCTGTCTTTGTGGAAATATTTGCATGTTCTTGACATTTCATATAAATGGAATCATACAGTATGTGGTCTTTTTGTGTCTTTCCTTTTCCACTTATATTTTAAATTTTAAAGGTTCGGCCATGTTGTAGCCTGTATTAGTACTTCACTCCTTTTTGTGGCCAAATATTCCATTGTGTAGATATGCAACATTTTATTTGTCCATCTATTGATGGATATTTTGGTTGTTTTTATCTTTTGGCTATTGTGAATAATGCTATGAGCATGCATATGCAACTTATTTGTGGACATATGTTTTCAGTTCTCTTAGGTATATACTGGGAGTGGAATTGCTAGGTCATACTGTAGGTAATTCTATAATTAACTTTTTAAGGAACTTATTACATAATTCCTTTTTATTTTTATTTATTTATTTTTTTAATGTTTTATTTATTTCTAGGAGAGAGAGAGAGACAGTGTGAGCAGGGGAGGGTCAGAGAGAGAGGGATTCACAGACTGAAACAGGCTCCAGGCTCTGAGCTGGCAGCCAGCACAGAGCCCGACGCAGGGCTCGAACCCACGAACCGCGAGATCATGACCTAAGCGAAAGTCGGACGCTTAACCGACTAAGCCACCCAGGCGCCCCACGTAATTCCTTTTTAAATAGGCTTTTTATTGTGGAATAATTTTAGGTTTGCAGAGATAGTAGATCTCCTGTATAGCTATCACCTATCTTCTCCGAATGTTAATACAAACTCTAAGATGTCTGTCAAAGCAAAGAAGCCAACATTGGTATATTACTGTTAACTAAATTTTAGATTTTATCTGGATTTCACCAGTTTTTCCACTAATGTCCTTTTTTTGTTACATGATATAACATTGTCGTGTTTTCCTTAGACTCCTCTACTCTGTGACAATTTCTCAGCCTTTCTTTGCTTTTCATGTCCTTGATAGTTTTTTTTTAATGTTTATTTTTTAGAGAGACAGTGCACTAGCAAGGGTGGAACAGAGAGAGAGAAAGGGAGACAGAATCTGAAGCAGGCTCCAGGCACCAAGCTGTCAGCACAGAGCCTGACGTGAGTCTCAAACTCACAAACCACAAGATCATGACCTGAGCCAAAGTTGGACGCTTAACCGACTAAGCCACCCAAGTGCCCTTTTAAGGAGTATTGGTCGGGAATTTTTGTAGAATGTCCCTTAATTTGGGTTTCTGATGTTTTTCCCATGATTAGACTGGGGTTTGGACTGGAATTTGAGAAAGAATACCACAGAGGTGAAGTATCTTTCTCATCATATTCGATCAGGTGGTGAGTGACGTCAACATAACTTATTACTGGAGATGTTTAACCTTGATCACTTGGTTAATGCAGTGTTTGCCACATTTTTCCACCATGAAGTTATTTTTCCCTTTCTATACTCTACCCTTTGGAACTGAACTACTAGATCAGCATATACTCAAGTGGGGAAGGAAGTTAAGTTCTAACTCAAAGGAGGGGATATAGCTACAATTATTATTTAGAATTCTTTTATAAGGAAGATTTGGCAACCCACCATTTTATTTATTCATTTGTACTGATATAAAGTGTATATATTTATTTCATGCTTTGGGTTAAATACAATGCTACTTTATTTTTTGCTCCCATCATTCCAGCATTGGCTTTTGGGAACCCTTTCCTGTGTCCCTTATCCTTTTAAGTACTTCTTTACCTTCTGATAATATAAGATACTCTAGGGTCATCCTTATTTTCCCTGTCCCAGGCCTAGAACCAGCCATGTCTTCAAGGATCCCTAATGTACTGTTAAGTAATTCAATTTGCCCAGGGTCACACACTTAGATAAATGATGAAACCAGGATTCCAACCAAGGAATCTGATTCTTCAACCCATGCTTTTAATCATAACATTGGACAGCATGCAACTGAAGGTGCACTGGCAGTTTCTAGTCATATTCCATCTGTGAGCCAGTCTTAAGGATACAGTTGGTAGTCAGTTTACACTAAATAATTATTGTACCCTGTTCTATATTGATTTTTTTTAATCAGCTGTAATTACAATCAAGCTAAAAATTACTTGTTAGCCATGCCTAATGACTTAATATTTTGGTGCATTTCTTTCTTTAAATGCATGTAAATGTATTTTGAAATTTTGTTATTATCCTAATTTTTAAATATGCACAAATATAGAACATTTACAGTTTTACCAAAATCTGAACGTGCGGTGTCTGTTGTAACTGGAGATTAAGATGAAAGTGAGCTGCTGTAGAGTCGTTCTGTTTTGCCTTGATGTTATGGTCACATAAGAGATAAACATCTGTATTGATTTATCATGTTCTCAAGTAATCCTCCAAGTATTGTTACTAAGCCTTATCTTTCTTCCATTTCTAGCAATAGATAAGTCCTCTCTGGTGATGCACACCTGACAGTCCACGCTTAAGAACAGCCAGAGCTGCATCTCACTCCAGAGCAAACAAACCCCATGTGATGTGACCACTTGGTTTGGAAGAATCATCTGACTAGGGCCTCTGCATCACTTTCTTAGATTCCACCCCCATTTCTTCCTTTGGCCACCCATATTAATTTTACTTCAAGAGATCTTTCTCACACACACAGATCTTTTTTTACTCTCTTCTCCCAGCCTTTCTCTAGCTAGTTATCCCCAGAAAAGTTTATTTTCCCCCTTTACATTCTCTTCTTCCTCTTTTGTAGGCTGAAAAGTAACTGTCATTATGGTAGGTAAAATGGTTATTTTTTAACTGTCATTATGGCAGATATACAGTGGTTCTGGGGTGCCTGGGTGGCTCAGTCGGTTAAGCGTCCAGACTCTTATTTCCACTCAGGTCATATCTCACAGTTTGAGCCCTACATTGGGCTCTATGCTGACTCTGCAGAGCCTGCTTGGGATTCTCTCTCACTCTCTCTCTCAGCCCCTCTCCTGCTCATGCTCTCTCTGTCTCCCTCAAAATAAAACTTTAAAAAGTTATTTAACTGACTCTCTCTCTCCTTCCCTCCTTCCCTCTCCCTCTGGCCCTCTCCTCCACTCGCATGTGTGTTCTCTCTCTCAAATAAAAATTTTTTAAATTTATTTTTAATTTTATCTACATATAGTTGGTGTTATTTACATTGTATATATACAGAGTTTTGTGCACTTACATGCATTAAGTAGCTATAATAAAATCAGGATCTAATTACCAATCGAAATCTTGTTTAGTAGGGAGATGTGTTGTGTCCTAATGTATACTTCTATATCAGACCTCATCTAGAAGTTAGGCATACCCTCCCCTTTACTGCTGACTTTAAATGTGTATAATCCACTTTTTGTAAAAGTCCTAAAATACATAAATATATATGTAAATACATATGTAAATAAGGTTTCTGTGATACTAATGTTTATATACAGTTTATATATATATATATATATATATATATATAGACAGAGTTTATATATAGAGAGAGAATTTACATATATATATATAGACAGAGTTTATATATATATAGATAGAATTTATATATACATAGACAGTTTATATATATATATAGGGTTAATGTTTTCCACTGAATTAGTCATGTGGATTAAGTGGGGTTACTTAACTGCCTGGACAAGGCATTACAGGATGACAGAAACTTGGGATTTGGCCATACTCTGGTTTTGAGCCAAAGTCTGGATTTACTTTTGAACTAGATCAAGTTCTGTGGGACTGTCTGCAAAGCTTGCAAGAGACTAACACAAGTGGTTAGAATGTTAAATTTTCATAGAAACCAAATTTTACATCAGTGGCATATCCTCATTCTTTAGGAGAGTTTATATGAAGGATAAGTTGTAATCACAAGACTAGGGAACCATGGAATCAGTTTCTTTGAAATAAGTGGTGTTGGTTGATATATTTAATAGCAAGCATTCTATCTCTGCTAAAGAAATGGACCTGTCAGGCACCTGCCCTTTGATTAGCCATTTAGAATATAATCTTCCTCTTTGGAATTCTCTCTTTCTTCTTCTTTTTTTTTTTTTAAGACTCCCATGTTGTGTGTCATTTCATTGGAATATTTACTCTTAGAATTGATTGATTAGGTGAATACCTTTTGCTATGTTAGTATTGCCATGCTTTCCCAAAACTTACCATAGTCCTCTCAGTTGGACATGGCTTTTCAAACATTCCCTCATGTAGCCATTTACCACCTTTGTTAGGGGAGATTACCTGTATTAATAACCAATTTTGTCTCTTACTCATTGAGTTTTACAGAGTTTGCAAATTTCACTCTAAATGGATAACATTTTCTAATTCAGAGTTGGAAAGAGGACAGTTATTACTGTTACTGCTTGTCTGTAAAATTTATACCTTGTTACTGACGGTATGATTTTTGCCTATCTATTTCAGGCCACATCATAATTCCGAATCATGTCTGATAACGGAGAACTGGAAGACAAGCCTCCAGCACCTCCTGTGCGGATGAGCAGTACCATTTTTAACCCTGGTGGCAAAGACCCTTTGTCAGCCAATCACAGTTTGAAACCTTTACCCTCTGTTCCAGAGGAAAAAAAGCCCAGGAATAAAATCATCTCTATATTCTCAAGCACAGAGAAAGGTAAATAGCTACAGTTTCTTCACAAGTCTTGGTTATTATTATTATTATTATTGTTTTTTTAATGTGTATTTTTGAGAAAGAGAGCAGTGGGCGGGGGGACGGGGAGGCAGAGAGAGAAGTATACAGAGAATCCAAAGTGGTCTCTGAGCCCAACATGGAGCTTAAATCCATGAACTGTGAGATCTTTACCTGAGCTGAAGTCAGACACTCAACCAACTAAGCCATCCAGGGATCCCACTAGTCTCAGTTATATTTTATGTTACCGATTTTGGTATCTTTTTTTTTCAATTATGATATCTTTTAATTAAAGTTTAACAATATGTTAATATTTTTATGGTGAGAACGATAACAGATCTAAGAAAACAATTGATGGTGGTATGTAGATACTATTAGAAAGGCTAGTTTCTCTTAACCTCTGATAGTAAAGAATAAAACTAAGTTTTTTACTCATCTACTTGGTATATCGAATAAGTTTCTGTAATCCTCTCCTTCATTTTTTAAGACTTGGGCCATAGTTTATAGCTTCCCAACATGAATGAGATTTGGAGATTTGAGAAAGAACTAATTAAGAGAGTTTCTGATTTTTCAGTAGTAGTAATACTTAGTACTGTCTCTTTATCTTGTATTCTGAGGCAGCACTTGTGATCAGTACATTAATGTGTCTTCTGCAGACATGAGTCTAGTACAAGGTTTCTCAGTCTCAGTAAGATTGACATTGGGGGCCAAATAACTTTGATGCAGGGATCTATCTTGTGCATTATAGAACATCCTATAAGCCATTCCAGTAGCACCTCCCACCCAGTTTTGACAACTAAAAATGTCTCCAGACATTGTCAGATATCCTCTGCAGCGCAAAATCACCTCCAGTTAACAACCACTGGCCTAGTCACACAAGCTGGTTTGAAAACTCTTAAGTAGTCATCTCAGATAAATTGAAGTCACTAAATTTGTTTTGGTGCCAAACCTAAGGAAAGAACTTGTGGTTTTCAGAGCTTTATGGATTTTAGAATTAGATGGGGATTATGGACTGGTAATGGATTTTAGAGTAAGAATTGTAAGAATTAGAGATTAGTTTATTTAATTACATTAAGTATGACTGTATGGCTCTAATAGCTAATGATAGATATAAGTGTAGATAAAGATATATTTCTACTTATATAGATAGCCAAGTTAACATGGAGAAGGAAATCCAAGTGGAAGAAGAGTAGTGCTTTGTACATAATAGTAAATATATAGGGCCTGTAGGTGTGGTCATGGCAGGTGTACTGAAGAAGACCACTGGCCTTATGCAGTTGGCTTTGTGTAAGAGGCCACAGGAGAGGCTAAGAATACTGTACACAAAGATTCTTGATGTTCTTGATCAAATTCCTAAAAATGCAACATATAGAAAGTGTACAGAACAGATTACAAATGAGAAATTGAGTATGGTTAAAGTGGAACCAGATGTTAAGAAATTAGAAGACCAACTTCAGGGTGACCAGCTAGAAGAGGTGATTTTTCAGGCTGAAAATGAATTAAGTCTGGCAAGAAAAATGATACAGTGTTTCCATGGGAGCTTTTAGTGGAAGACCTTCCTACCAACCAATGGAAATGGCCAATATAATCATCATTAAATGACTATTGTGTTGATGGGGAATTAATATAATTAAATGTTCTATTAAAAAGGTTTCCATATTATTGACATCTTATAGTCAAGAAAACTAATACAGGACATATTTAAGAGACTTGTTAAAATTGATGACTCTGGTAATAAGGATTTATAAATCCATTTTTGATATGTAAAGCCTTCATTTAGATTATTTCAAAGATGGTTTTCCTAGATTTTGTTGTTGTTGTTGTTTGTTTTTAACAGAGAGGTTAACAGATTTGAAAGTTAATTGGAAAAATTCCTATAGATTTTCAGTGCAGAGGCCATAATTGAAATGTGAAGTCATTTTAGTGTCTTTATATCATTTCATTGTTTTTATCCTGAAAAAAGCAGGAAAGGTATTTAATTATTATTGTTTAGACATATTTATAGGTCACTGAAGTGAAGTAGTAAGAGTAAAAACCATCAAATGATAAGGTGAAGAAATTCGTTTGGTATTTCAAAGAAAGATTTCGTATTTGCTGTAGTAATTGGGAAAACTTTTCCTTTTGTCTCATTTACAGAAGTTAGCTTTCTGTTCCTTAGCCTTGAGTTTTCTTAATCAACCAGAGTACATCAGGATAGATATTGAATTTATGTAAAAGAAGAGACATCAAGAGTCCGTAAAATTTATCTGGTATGTTGGATAGGCTTACATTCAGAACATCTTTGTCATACACCCAGAAACTCTCATAATTTCCACTCAGAAACTCTTATAATTTCCACTAAGTTCCCAGTATGAGCTCAGTTGGGTATCAAACCAAAGATAAATGCTATTCAAGGAAAGAAACAGTTGGCATAAATTACTTTTCATATGTCCTCACCATTCATTCCTAGATACTGTCATTTCTAAATACTTAAATTTGATATTTTCTGACTTCAAAGATAGTATTTTTGTGTGTGTTTGTACGCATATGTGTGTGTGTTTTGCTACCCCGTGTTACAAAGCAAAATCAATCCAGAATTTTCAGAATGAGAAAACTATTTTTTTCCAATATATTTCTCCCCTTACCCATAAGCTGAGTGGTAAATAAATAATAAATGAAAAAATAATAGATATACATTTTACTTGAGAGTTAAGAATACATAATCAGTGGGGCGCCTGGGTGGCTTAGTCGGTTAAGCGTCCGACTTTCGCTTAGGTCATGATCTCGCGGTTCGTGAGTTCGAGCCCCGCGTCGGGCTCTGTGCTGACTGCCAGCTCGGAGCCTGGAGCCTGTTTCAGTCTGTGACTCCCTCTCTCTCTGACCCTCCCCTGCTCACGCTGTCTCTCTCTCTCTCTCTCTCTCTCCTAGAAATAAATAAAACATTAAAAAAAAAAAAAAACAGATAGTCACTGGTGACTTTCTAAAAAAAAAAAAAAAAAGAATACATAATCAGTAAAAATTTACGTAGATTGAAATGTACAAAAATTAACTGTACAGTTTTGACCAGTGGATACACCTGTGGAAGCCATAATCGTTTTATCAATATATCACATTATACACCATTTTTATCTCCCTAGAACTCATTCATACCCTCTCTCAATCTGTTCCTTCCCTCCTTTAAGGAAATTCCTATCTGACTTTTTCACCTTTGATCAATTTAGCCTGTTTTAGAACTTCATGTAAATAGAATCTTACTTCAATTTTTTAGTTTTATGGTGATAACATACACACAAGAGTATAGTATAGTGTATATATTTTAATAAAACATGCTTCTACCTATACCCCATCCTAGAATTTTATCAATACCTCTGAAGCCCCCATCTGCCACACCCATCTTCTCTCTTTTCTCCACCTCCCACCGATATCCACCATCTTGAATTCTGCAGTTTTTTTATCCCTTGCTTTTTATTATAATTTTACAATATAATATCCCCAAATAATGTGTGGTTTAGACTTGCCTTTTGGGGAACATTTTATAAATGGAGTCATAATGTATGCTTTTTTCCAGGACTTACATTTTACATTTTCACTCAACTTAATGCTTTTTTAAAAAAAATTTTACAATTTATTTTTGAGAGAGAGAGACAGAGTGCAAGCAAGGGAGGGGCAGAGAGAGAGGCAGACACAGAATTTGAAGCAGGCTCCAGGCTCTGAGTTGTCAGCACAGAGCCTGATGTGGGAGCTCAAACCCACGAACCGCAAGATCATGACCAGAGCCAAAGTCGGACGCTTAACCAACTGAACCACCCAGGCACCCCTCACCTTTATGCTTTTGAGATTCATTTTGGTATACATAATTATAGTTCATTTTCACTGCTGATGTTGTCATACGTAGCTGTGTTTTGTTCATTTTCACTGATGTATATTAGCACACTGTATAAATATACGGCAATTTATTTAGCCAGCCTCCTATCAGTAGACATTTGGGTTACTTTCATGAACAATGCTGCTGTATGGGTAATCTTGAGGGCATGTGCAAGTATTTCTCTAGGGCAATGCTTATTAAGCACAGAGCCTGACATGAGGCTTGAACTCATGAACTGGGAGATCATGACCTGAGAGATCATGACCTGAGCCAAAGTCAGAGGCTTAACTGACTGAGCAAAAAGTTTTTTCATGAATTCATGAAACTTTTGTTTCAGTTATGTGTATATTAGATCAAAATTTAAAACGTATTGGTGTGGGCCTTGGCCAAAGATACAAAAGTTGCTCAGAGATGGATACTTGGGAGTAAAATTGTAGGGTTACAGGGTATTCCCATGTTTGACTTGACTGGGTTTGTCAGATTGCTTTCTAACGTCTTTTTTTAATGTTCATTCTCACCCACAGAACATGAATATTCCTATTGCTGAATATCCTTGCAGATCCTATTTTACAGGACTTTAATTTTTGCCACCTTGGGAAGTATGAGATAGTATCTCATTTAGGGTTTAATTTGCATTTCCCTGAGGACTTGGGAAATTCTTTTTCATATGTAAATTTCCCATTTATTTGTATTTTCTGTTAAAACTTTTCCTCAATCCATTTTTCTACAGAGTTGCTTTTTCCTTCTTTTTAATCAAAATTTAATGTCTGTATACTAATCCTTTGTCAGTTAAATGTTATTAAACACAATTTTTGAAGTGGTGATTTGCCTTTCACCTCTCAGTAATAATCTTTTGTTGAATAGAAGTTACTAATTTTGGTGTAGTTGAATTGATCAATTCCTTTATCATTTGAGCTTTTTGTATGTTAAGAAATCTTTGCCAAACTATGGGTCAAAGATGTTTTCTTAGGTTTTTCTAAAGGTTTAACAGTATGTGTTTTATAATTTAAACCCTTGAAATGTCTGGATTTATTTTTGTGTATGTGTAAAGAGAGATCCATTTTCACTTTTATTTTTTTTTTTTGCAGTGTCGCCAACCTTTCATTGAAACTTTCATCATTTCCCCACTGACCTGCCATACTAGCCATTATCTGTCAGGTTTCCAAGTGTGCCAGGGTCTGTTTCTCTGTTGTCTAATTTACTGCGTTGGCTTATTTGTACCTGAACCAATACTGTACTGTCTTAATTATTGTAGCTTATAATTCTTAATACTTGACAGAGCAAATCTGCTACTGGGTTCTTCGGTTCTTCTTTATGATCCTTTGGCCCTTTCCTCTTCTCTATAAATTTTAAAATTTGTTTATCACATACTTAAAAAAAAAAAAAAAACACCTGCTGATGTTATAGAGCAAGATGGGAAAAATTGCATTCAGCTTTGTGGTTAAGAGTAGAGCACCTGCAGGGGTCTCTTTGTGTTGCCTAGTTGTAAAGAGAGGAGAAAGACAGATGGAATGTTTGGAGGGTAGGGTGCTCCCTAATTCCTCTTATTCCATGGGGTTCTTCCCTCCCTTTCCAACCCAGCCTCCTGCACTTTTGCTTCTTCCTGGAAGCTGACACTTCCTACATAAGTGTGACCTTAAGCTTTGAGGGTTAGGAAGGGAGAACCCTGTGCGTGTGTGTGTGCACACACATTTGTGCTTCTGTGAACACAGAAATCTACCTGCTTAGCCATTCCCAACACTCTGAACTGACATTCTCCTGCCTACATTCTTAGTGACTGTTTCTTTCCCATAGTTTTATCTGAATTGCTTTTCATCTTTAGGCATTCCTCACTGATTTTATTCCATGATAAATAAAGAGATTTGACCTAGAAGAGGAGGGCTACAGTATGTGGTTAGTCTGTCATCTTGAAAACAGAGTCTAGAAAGGAAGAATTGTATTTTTTTAAAAAAATCATAATTACCCTAAGATTTTTGCCACCTCTAATGTAAAGCCTAATCTAGAAGTACTCATTTTACTCAAATTTACATCCCTTATTGATGTCCTTACTAACAGGCAGCTAACGTTTTTGTTTGGAAAAAAAAAAAAAGACTAGACTACCTTCAGTGATTCATTATTGGTTAATAATCAGTGTCACTGGAAGAGTTAAGAAAATTAGAAATTATATTTTTTATACTCTTTTTTCTAAAATTTTTATTCCTTTTTGAGAGGGAGAAAGTGCTAGCAAGCGGAGGAGGGGGGCAGGAGACAGAGGATCCAAAGGGATAGCAGCGAGCCTGATGTGGGATTCGAATTCACAAACCATGAGATCATGATCCACGCTGAAGTCAGACGCTCAACTGACTGAGCCACCCAGGTGCCCCTAGAAATTATACTTTTTATGACAACTTGATGGAACAGATCTCTTCACATTTTGATACATATATATGTACCCTGTGAGTCATCAGGGATAATGATAAGCAAAGCAGATGGTGTCCCTGCCCTCATGACATACCAAAAACTGTAACATAAAGTTACAAACTATGAAAAGTGGTAATAGGATTAGTATAAGCCATCTGTGCTATCTGGGAAGGCTTCCTAAGGAAGTGACAATAGACGTGAAGACCAAAGAATGAATAAGTGAAAATAGGAAGATTTGATAGTTGAATGTATGTTCTGTGCCTAGAAAAGAGTTTCAGTGGCCCAGCTACAGGAGAAATCATA